GGAGGATGCGTCGGGCTATATCGCATTTAGCTAACAATTCACGATAGTTAGATACCGTCCTCCATGGCGCAGTTGCATAAGCTGCGGGCTAGTTGGCAAGAGCCACTAGCAGTCATGGATTCGATCCTCCGCAGAGGACCGAAGGATGCGCACCACTGATGAGCCCCAATAGGGCGAAACGGCCGTCTGGTGCTTTTCCGGACAGCTGGTCGACATATCTGAATTGTCGGCTGATTGCGACGAACAAAATACTCACCAAAATCCTTCCATTCATAAGTAATACCAATTCGCCCGTACGGATTCCACAAAATGCTATGTCGATTCATAGCTGCCGTAACCGGGAAGTCCTGACGCCGGAAGGCCGACCGCTGTCATCTGCATGGCAGGTGCCTGCATGGCAGTGGAGGATGCGTCGGGCTATATCGCATTTAGCTAACAATTCACGATAGTTAGATACCGTCCTCCATGGCGCAGTTGCATAAGCTGCGGGCTAGTTGGCAAGAGCCACTAGCAGTCATGGATTCGATCCTCCGCAGAGGACCGAAGGATGCGCACCACTGATGAGCCCCAATAGGGCGAAACGGCCGTCTGGTGCTTTTCCGGACAGCTGGTCGACATATCTGAATTGTCGGCTGATTGCGACGAACAAAATACTCACCAAAATCCTTCCATTTCATAAGTAATACCAATTCGCCCGTACGGATTCCACAAAATGCTATGTCGATTCATAGCTGCCGTAACCGGGAAGTCCTGACGCCGGAAGGCCGACCGCTGTCATCTGCATGGCAGGTGCCTGCATGGCAGTGGAGGATGCGTCGGGCTATATCGCATTTAGCTAACAATTCACGATAGTTAGATACCGTCCTCCATGGCGCAGTTGCATAAGCTGCGGGCTAGTTGGCAAGAGCCACTAGCAGTCATGGATTCGATCCTCCGCAGAGGACCGAAGGATGCGCACCACTGATGAGCCCCAATAGGGCGAAACGGCCGTCTGGTGCTTTTCCGGACAGCTGGTCGACATATCTGAATTGTCGGCTGATTGCGACGAACAAAATTCTCATCCCCAATACTTATTGAATCCGGAACATCATCCAGTAAGTGATCTTTTAACAAATACAAAGAGGTTCAGGTTTCAAAGTCAGCACCGCCTCCACAAAACCATTGGTTGCCGCCCCCACGAAGGTCAGCAAATCACGCGCTGGATATTCGCATCATAAAATACGGTTCTGATATTAAAAGCGCTCTCGTTTTTATATATCCTCACTCATAGCCTCATCAAAATTTGCTCAGTTCCAGTCCCGTCTTTATTTTCTGTCCATCCACCTGTTACTGATAACTGAGATCTGGCTGTACGATGAAATTCTGAGATCGCTCTGCCAGACACATCCGTCCTAAATAAAGATCGACTTAGTGGGGAAGGCTGTGTGCTTTTGTACCATCACAGGGGCATACATTTCCCAGTCTTTGAGGACCAAAAGATTCAAGGAGTGGAGTCACCTTGATGTCTCCTAGAACTAACACGTAGCGACACATGCTTAGTTGCTCTCGTAAACATTCGTTTGATGTCCACACAGAAGTGGACAGCCGTATAGTTTTAGCTCTAAAACCGTTCTGTCGGCGCCTAACAGTCACGTTCCACTTATCGGAGTATTCAACTTGATCGCTTTAGATGCTCCGGCTTTCATTTTTGAGCAGGGAATGACTGAACTATTAGAACTAGTCGCTACCCCACCAATTCGTAATCGTGTCTCTTCCCCCACAAGCTTCAGAATAGGGAACAACCCGGCGGTTTTGGACCTTAATTTTACCAACGTGGAACTTATGCTCGACACGTCAACAGTGAGTATCCCTTTGGGGCTCAGCGGTCATGCAACACCACTTTTCTGCTACGTCTGTTACGCAGAACACTTCAACTGGAACACTGAGCAAGTTCACATCGCTACACATAACAGCATCCTAGTTGGCTTCATTAAGGTCACCGATTAGTCGTTTCTAGTAAAACAACATCGTGATGTCCCTTGGGTAGAACTTGTCAACAATTGCAGCACTTTGGTACGAAACTCATCAGCGATTAAGAGCCTTAGCACACCAAAGGTTAAAGTCCTTCCTGAATAGCGAGATGTGGAAACGACTCATTTTAAGAGATTCACTTTGATACGCACAAAAGTCAATCCAAACACCAAAAACCAATAGAGGTTGCTTGTAGCAACCAATCCACCAGCGGAGCCTCCAAGTCCAATTTTGCATTCGTTCTCGCTGGACCAAGCGTTGCTCGTGGATCTCAGTGGCATAGTGCTTATGGTGTCAACCATGAGCCACTAGACTCTGAGTTCCGGCCCAACTCAGGCTATCTCGAACTGATGAGTCCCAACCAGGACGAAACCGCGGTCTTCGGGGTGCCAGTGTTGGGGTGAGCAACACTATAATGTTTCCATTTTACTTACGGTCTTTGTGATCGGAATGACCGAGGTCCACCTCAAGTGAACCGAGGTCTCAATAGAGGTTGCTTGTAGCAACCAATCAACCAGCGGAGCCTCCAATTCCAATTTTGCATTCGTTACCGCTGGCCCAAGCGTTGCTCGCGGATCTCAGTGGCATAGTGCTTATGGTGTCAACCATGAGCCACTAAGCTCTGAGTTCCAGCCCAACTCAGGCTACCTCCAACTGATGAGTCCCAACCAGGACGAAACCGCGGTCTTGGGGTGCCAGTGTTGGGGTGAGCAACACTATAATTTTTTCATTTCGAAAACCAGAATACTTACCTAATCCAGCTGATTCGTTGGTGCGAGGACAATTTGATGCTTCGACACTACTTAATGAAGAAGTGCCGCTCCGTTAAGATGCTAATTTACAGGTAAAGTACAAGGAGGCAACGCCTTCAAATGCCATCTGTGGGCATGCACAAAATTTGCCAAGTCCAGCTGATGCGCTTATACATCGATTCGTTTGTACCTTCCATAACGTACCGCCATCAAATACCATTCTCACACATGGCACATCACTTTCAGGATTTAGCCACATCTCCTTCACAGCCGCGCATTTGCTGAAGCTACCGGTGTCACTACACGAAAATAGTGCACTTGTTTAATTTCAAGGTAACTGTCATGAGTTTAGCTTCATCGTCATCTCAGTTTTTTCAGCGCTGCCTCTACGAGATTCAGGTTACAACTATGTAGAAGCTTAGACTGGTCATCCCTATTTACAAGCCAGGCGATCGTACAATACGCGCAAATGACCGCTTCATTGTCCTTCTTCCTGTGCTTGTTACAGTTTCACTTTTGCCTCTTGCACACGTTCATCTGGAGGCGACATAGTACCTGCAAACGTCAATTATGATGTCACTCCTTATGCATTTACAGTGGATTCACTAATTTACAATGGATTTTAGAGCGTAGACTTTCCGTAATCTGCTATATTTATCCTGCCCATCCTAGGGATCCGTCAATCTTCGTTTTATTCCGCCTTAAAAAATTGAACAATTGTTCCATCTCCAGTACAACAGCCAAAATACTTCTGCCAGGCATGACGAATGCATAGGATATGCTCTTCTGCGTTTCAAAGAAGTTACTTATGCAAAGGCTTCATAATTTAACCTAAAGAATTTTAGGCTACACTTATAGAGACGCTAGTGAAGATGATTCAAGATATTCAGTGTCCCGCAAATTTGAGCATTTAAGAGGATCCTGTAGCTGGGTGATTGTTCAGGATGATTGGTGGTTCTCATTTCTCGGTAAAGCTACTCTTTTGGCAACACTAACGCCGCATGCATGCAGAACAGCTGAGGATTGGGGTTTAAGCGTTCACTGGGAAAGAAACAGTGCAAGATCGTCCTAAGAAGGTCCCCAACGGTCAGTGATACAGTGTAAACATGCAATGTTCCTTCCTCGGCGTAGTACCGGTGGGATTAATTAAGGCTTGTGAAACTGCGTTGGTTGAAACAAAAAGTTTCAGGACGCACAAATACTAGGTGGAATTTCCCTTCGCTTAAGAAGTGGTTTACTTTTATTGATCTTCTTTCAATTTCATGATTCTTCTGTGAGGCAAGGCAGTTTTGGGTCCAAATCTCTATCGCCAAATCAACCAAAATGCTTGGTTCGCAGATGTTCAGAAAGTGCACACGCCTTTCACGTGCGGGTGGGAAGTAACACGCCTGATACGTTGACAGATTTGCTTGCCCTGGATGATCACGATGACACACTCTTGTTCTGCGCCGCCGCACTCGGATGTGTGAGAATGTAAGAATGACATTTTGCTACTCGCAGTAACACAGTGTAGGCGGATGTCCATATTTAGATTACAAACTTAGCGGTTATTAGCTGTCACCTAGTCATTAAAGGAAGGTAAGTTAGCTGGAAGTGGAATGGTGCAGTCCCTGGTTGAACGTGTGAAGTATTTCTGCTGCTTCGGAGGGCATCCCGAAGAATTGAATCAAAGGTTTTGTTGAAAGTATGATGAATTGTATGGCGACTTGCTTTGTGTCAGCGATCCATGGCTAACCAAACGGAAAAATACATTGTGTCTGGTGTTGAACAGATTCTGGAAAGCGCTACCATGGAACAGTAGCCAGTAGATGAGGAATTATCAGTGGAACATTTGTAGTCTCTACGTATTAGTCAAAGTGCTTATTGAGTGTAGGAAACATTGGATGTCGAAAACACCACTGTCAACGTACTAAGGCGGGTATCACTGGTGAGATTGCGGGAAACTCGCGGTACGCAAGGTACATGGTACCTAATCAAGTATACTGGAAACCAGGAGACTCTTCTCCTTGAGTTGCTTTGGTAATGTAATTCTACCTTGCCCCATGACTAAGAGGATCAACTGCATGGCAAGCATATGGTGTTGTTGGGTCACGCATTTTGCGATACTCGACCGTTTATATTGAGTGAATGCTGTTGCTTTAACTTGGCAAAAACGTTATTGTTTATGACAAAAGAGTCGCACAGGATCAGCCAAAATGTGATTTTAAAAGTTGTCAAAAATGAGCTGTGTAGACTCACCGTCGGGACTGAAAAGTGACAGTCTTTTGTTGCTCCATAACTGAACTTGTGCTCGTCTTTACCCTTTAGGCAATCAGTTCGGGTGAACTCGATTGAGTATAGTGTAATTTCCTCCTCATTTCGCTAGCAAACAAACCAAATACAGGTGAATTTATCAAACTAACTGATTTTACCTCAATGGTAGCATCCGTTATGTCGGATACGGCATACAATTCGTTATCCGGATTGATCTTTGCATATATGTTCCACGCTGCATCCACACTGTTCTGAAACCGTGGTTCCATTTTCTCTTCACTAGATATCAGCCTACGTGACTGTGGCACCCAACGGATGTGACAGTTTCTCAGATAAAGCTGTATGGATTGGCCAAAAGGTGGCCGTTCAACAATATATGCGTTGCAATTCACGATGTCCTAAGGAAGAAAATGAAGAGTTTTACCACAGTTTTTAGCCATCTGTTGACAAGTGAATCACACAATAGTAGAATTCAAGTTTAGTGGATCTGTGAAAAATGAAGTTCTTCCTGTGAGGACAATCCATTCGATGGGATAACGCAAACTGACAGTTTAGAAACTTGTCAGTGACGAAAATCATACACACAAATGGGATCCACTGCATAAATATTTGAAAATGGGCTCTACCCATGTGCACTGCCGAGCGTATTGGGCCCATTGTAATCATTTGATTAAACATGGCACAACCTTTCTGACATATGGCGAACTAAGAATCACGTGAGCGGTCAGCACATAGCAATTATATGATAAGAGTCTCGGTGTTTCGCAAATCGAACTGCTAAGATGACTCATAGGGAAATGAGGGCAGTGGAAACACGGTTGGATAATTGTCTCACTCGGAAGTGATATTCTGACGTCTTACATGAAAAGATCAGTTATGAACATGTTGGACATCGCAAATGATACCATCTTCTTCCAATGTCTTTGACACCAAAACGGTCGGCTCCCTCAAAGCTACCTCTCTCCAAAAGCTGCTCACCCTAATGATACTATGGGTGGTGTTGCGATGTCTTTTGTTGGTTTGCCGTTTCTGAGACCAGCAAACAGTACCAAGAACTATTTCAACGTGAACGGAATTTCCAGGTTTGTCGGGTTGATTCGGTATTCGTTTATAACTGCCGCCGTTAATAAGTCAAGTTAACAATGCGTTTTATACACTAATAAGAATATGCAACCAAAACACACGCGCCAATGACACAGATAAACTTAATGCGAAGTACAACAAACGGATATGGTGCGTCAGTAATTTGAAGACGAAACCGAGTTGATATCATGCAGTCAGTTTGGCAGTCAGTTCCTGTTTGACTAAATCTTGATCCCTCAAAATACGTGACAAATATGGAACGACTAAAGTACCATACGTCGGTGTGTCGGCTCAAGTGATTTTGCCCGTTTGACCGGTTGAGACGATTGAAGTAAATTTCGACAGTGCACTGTGGAAAAGGTGATTGGCATCAGCGAGTAGTTTTAATATCAGTATTTTTCAGGAGTGAAGGTGATTATGTACACAAATATCAGTAAGGATGAAAATTGAAATGTCGTTACATCGAACGAGCTTTCTCAGTGGCCCGTTTATCATTTTGAAATAGCCGTTTAAAATTCCAGATAAAGTGATGATCTATAACGTCTAGTGCGCTAATACGCAAGCGGTGATAAATTGCATGATCAAATAACGTGGCACGGATGAAGAAATAAGTCATGAGACATAGAACCTTAGTCTCTTGACTTTACTGTATATTTCGTTTACGTGAGAGCATCACGTGAGATAACGGCTTCGTGTAACTCCTAGATATTTCACAGACGTACAGGAGTTCGGGCTGGTACTGTCAAAACGAAGGTAAGGGTGTGCGTGAGTAGTTTCTGATAAGGATTTTCCGTAGAAAACGAAAGAGCATATTTTTCAAAGGGATGAGTTCAGTGAAAGCGGGATTTGTCCAAGAATTATGGCAACTGGGCCGATGATTCTCTAGTGTGATTGTGTGCATCAAGTATCAGGTCAGCAGCATACTACTGCCGGATGGTTTCTTTTGGGGTTGAAATTGAGTTAATGCTGGTGGAAAATATAAATAGCGATAATGTAGCTGCCCTAAACTTGGTAAACTACGTACGTCTAGTAAATTAGTATGCAAGAAATACTAATGTGGTTAATAGAAAATGTGGTTATGCGCTTTGAGTATGCATGCATACTTAGTGCACCTAGGACACACACTAGATACCTTTTTAAACAGTTTCAATAATCAGAACGATTGCATGTTACCTAGTAATTTTTTCAACTTATTAATGTGATGCCGCTACCGATGAACATTCAGCTGGTTGGCGCTGTGCTGAGTGTATCCGGACGTGGCTAACAGACGGTTCTCCTCTCCAACTTCTGTGCACAATTAGGGATTCCCATTTAATTTTAAACCTATTATGTTGTCCCTGATAAAAGACCAAAGGTTGTTCTCGGCATCCGCTCCACAGAGCTTTAGAAGCAAAATGTTTTGCAACGCGTAAAGGACAAACCGACAGCCGTGACAAGGTAAGAGAATGGCGAAAGCCCCAGTGGGGGAAATTTATGATGGCCTAGCCCGCACACAGCAATAGGCTTCAACAGTGCTACTGCAATTTTTCCGAGCTCCAGATTTCCACTGCTTATTCCTCCTTAGCGTGCTGCTCAATATCGATAATCCACTCACCCCACCCGGATTGATCAGCTCTACAATTTGGATATTCTATTGCAGGGTTATTCTTAACGCTTCAACATTTCTTCACTTCGGCAGTTTGGCGCAACTTCTTCTTTTTGTAAGTTCCCGTTGGACATTTTACTGTCAATCGCAAGAGTTTGATCCAGGCTTAGCAAGTATCCTAAACCAGTGTTCATTCAACATTGAAGTTATTCACGTCATCTTATTTCACAACGGCCAGTTCACTGTAGCTGGTCAAAATATCCATCCTTGCAACGCACACACTTTCTCGGTAACCGTCGAAGTTGCCTCCGACCGGAAATCGATGCATTGTTTATCGTCCCTTTTGTGTGACTAGCGTGCGGTACGTTTGGCGTCAGCCCTCCTACCCAGATCAGAGAAACAGTCGCCACACCTCTTGTGTATGTGCGTGTAGTGTCAGGAGCGTGACCTGGTTGCATTGGTACAGGAAGATCTCGGGTGTTCAAAACAAGCAGAGAAGGCCAAGAGAACCGGCAATCAACACTTCGGCCTTCTTCGCAGAGCCTTCAATCGGTTTGAACCCTCAATCTATCCACAAATGCTTAACGCCTACGTGCGACCTTACGTGAAATATGCTAGTCAGACGTGGCAGCCGTGGCAGAAACAGGATCGCGTTGCTCTCAAGACTCCTCAATGAAGGGCAACCAAGAAGTTCAGTGGCCTCTTTCATCTGCCCTATCAGCTTAGGCTGAAATCTCTAAGACTGTACAGCAGTCGATATCGGCTTTTGCGGGGGACCTCATGATGGTTTACCAGATTCTGAAGAACCCAAACCACATTTGCCGTCCGCTGCTGGAATTGAACCACAACACTAAACTAAGAGGTCACCCTCCGAAACTGACACTTCATTATAGCTTGCTTGAAAGCCGTAGAAATTTCTTTTCCGTGGGCGAGCCTTGGAACGCGCACCCTGATTATGTCGTCTCTACTCCCAATCTGGCGATATTTAAAAAAGGTGTTGATGCATTGTCTCACTTACAAATTCATTTTATGGCCTGTTAGCCAGGAACTACAAAACGCAATCAAACGGTGTCTTGTTAAACGCCTAACGAGGGGATTTATGGATTTATACGTTTAATACGCGAACATCTCCGCTATTCCACATAAGTCTATGATCAGTCCACCACAACGCTTTTCACTTTATCACGCAATTGATTTTCGCAATAATTTCCATCCCACGGGACTTGTTAAGCGATGCTTTTTTACCCGTAATAAACCATTGTTCCATTGTTCCAATCGATATCTTGGCCCAGGCAAAACTAGGAACGGGACGTGAAACGGAGTTCACCACAGAAGGAATCCCAGCGAACCACAGGTGAATAGTATTTGCGGCAGTGGAAATACGGCCAGAACTATTATTTTGTGTTCTGGATGCAGAATCATTAAATTGTTTGACTTCAAAGGAACTGAATGAGTTAAAGAATACAAGTTCTACTGGATCTGCATCAAATGTGTCCCTGTCATACTTGTTTGCTATTTGACTACGTTGGCACATAAATGCGTTAAACTCGTAACGATATTCGTGAAATCTACACTTGCTAAATATACTTCTTCGGATTCAACCGCAGCAAAGTTCGGAGCTCAAGGCTCCACAGCGGAACATAGCGGCCGAGCAAGGGGCGAAGGTAAAACTGTGAAATAAGATACATGGACACCCCAAATCTTCGTGGATGCGAGTCAGTGTGTATACACTGGAGTAGAAATAGATGCAATATACCAAGATTCCTCAAAGTCGCTCGACCATCTTGATCACCGCACTCCACCTTACATAATACAGAAATATGGAATCGGTGATCTTATTTTAGGTTGGATAGACATATCTGTCAGTCAAAGCCGTCTGAGAGTAAGGGTCTGCATTAGCCTATCAGATCCCAAGATTCGCTATTCTAACCACGAACGTTCCAGCCTTGATAAATGAACTCACACAATAGCCGTCTTAATTTGTTCAGCCATTCGACGATGGTCTGATGAGATGACGTGTTATCAGTACAGTGGAGGACCACACATCCATGCAAAATGATGTGGACAAACGTATACATAGTTCATGGACAGCATGCTCCAATTCGATGCTGTTACTTTCCAAGTTATGAGAATATGCCATCAGCGTGCTCACGACTACCTGCTATGGCCACGAATTCTACACCGCGCATCACATGAGTGCGAGAATGGCTTGCCAGTGGGAGAGGACTTTGGCAGTTTGGGCAGATTTTAAACACATCGAAGAAGGCAAATCAGCACTTCGCGCTCTTGTGTACGGAGCTTAGAAACTTCGACATCTCAGTCTTTTCGCAAATGTTTTGCGTGTGCGTGAGGCCTCACGCAGAATACGCAATACAGGCGTGATAACTTTGCCAGAAGCGCCATCTTACCGCACCCGATACTGCATAATGCAGGGCGACAAAGAAGCTTAAGCGTTTGTTTCCCCCTCCCTACATACTCAGGTTGAAAACTTTATCAGTGCACAGCGGATGTTATGGGCATCCGCTGCATGAACTCATAATGCTGTGTCAGAATCAACAATCTCACCTGCCACACTTGCAACCACCTATTGAAACTCAGACAAACACATCACTGGGGGACCATTAGTTTAAGCTGACCAGGCAGTACAGCCGATTATAATTTGGACGAAACTGTTTCTTCTTTCGAGTGTCACAGCCCTGGAACTCCCGCCCAGCGCGTGTATTCGCTACTCACACTTTATCACTTTTAAGAAAACAGCAACAATATACAGTGAATTACTTACACTACATAGTATATCCCACGCCCATCATTTGACGGCATCAGTGCAGCACAAAGATTGGGAGGTATCATAATCCCCTTTACCTCAAGATAGCAACACCCATACATGTATGCTAATGCAAACCTCTTAATCAGTCACGTGACTTGCGCATTCTTTTAGCAACACGGTGTTTTTATCTTGTAATTTTCCTGGTTACCATTCTATTGCACTTGCCGTGCATTTGCTTGTTCATTCGTTTTATACCACTGATCCACTTTTCCATCTGTTAAATAATCCGTTGTGCTGACCGCAACGGTACTTGTGTTAATGCATATCAAAGGAGCCCGGTTTACCAGAGCAGAGGAAAATTAGCTAATCCTTACAATAGTTCAGTTTTTCGTAACAACTACGTTAAACCAATTTTGATCCGCAGGCTTTCACTTTGTTGGTGCTAGAAGCTTAAAAAGAAGAGATCCTCCACTTCCAGTTTACGGTCATAGTTGAGACTTAGGATAAGTCACAAGTGCACTCACTTGTTGCTGCCACTTCTTGCAGGCCAAACTATCGGCATTTGGCAATGTGTCATTGCATCCACTGGGCTTTAAGCCCAAAGTAAACGAAACATTACGAAACTGTTCGTTCAGTTCCACCTGTGCGTCCTCGATTGTATCCACATCATATAAGATGGGGACGGAGGGTTTGTACATCCTCACAAGTTTCCCAAGCATCTCCTGGAACTGTGCACTGTTGCGCTCTTGCGAAGAAAGCGGTCGGACTCCGAACGAACTTTCCGGTCCGCTGTGTACTTGACAGTCACTCAGTATAAGTCGTTTCATACCAAGCATCCACGGTCTGTGCCAGTTGGTTACTAGACAGCGAACAGACGGCTAAAATGAGAGAAAGATGGTTCAGCTAGGTGGCAGCTTTCAATAATCGACGTTATCACAGCAGAGCAGTTGCTAAAAGAGATAGCTTACTTGTGTTTCGTCAGCGTGACATCCGTCAGGAACATCCTTTTGGCTGCAGTCAATTGGTTTCATTTTCAAATTAAAAGTGGTTTTAATACCAAAGTGCATCTGAAAAGCAGCAATCAGTAGCAGACAAAAAGGGACCATACTTGGTGAACCACATTGCTCAAGTCAACAAGGCCAAAACTTGTGCCTCCGGATGAGTTATTGTTGTACAGGTGGACAGCCCTTTGTGCTATTTCTTCTAATTCTTCGTCATACTCGCTTCCAGAGAGCAAAGTTGTTTCTGCGGATGTGCCATTGATTTTTGCGACGATAATGACGCAGTTTACGAGATCGTATGTCACAGTTTCTTGCCAAGGTCTCAGCCAGATGCTTGCTTTACAATGATAGAACGACTGCGAAAGGTGTAGGTATAATAATATGTTGCAGGCACGGGTATATGTACAGTAATTAAACATGGATGCAATCGAGTCCAACATTATTTTGAGGGTACTATATACTTTGCTGCATACTATACGCAGTACATTAGTTGGAACATCATCACAGGGCCAGGTGCCCCCGATAGGCTATCCGTGCAGTGATGTTCCAAGCCGGGTGTTTCAGCTGCCGCGTTAATGGCATCAACAGCTAACGGCCTAGTGGTGCAATTGTTCCTACACATCACGTCTCTCAAGTGCACCGCTGCAAAACACACATCATTCTCTCGTTTGAGTAAAGAATATTGTTATAGGTAAAATTCGTCACATATGGACTCAGACAGTCAGCACAAGCACGAGAGATGGCAACAGTCATCATGAATAAGTTACTAGATGTGATATAGCGCAGCTCACTACCCCCTGACTTGCACGTTGATGCCGTGCAGAGGACAAGGTAGCCCCCACACCAAGCGACGAACTTACCAAACTTAGGCCGCCAATAAACTTATGGCATAATAAGCAGTGCACAGTGAGCGGCGTTATCCCACGTCTAGTAACTTATTCATGATGATCATTGCCGTACCCCATAGCTCAGTGGTCTCAACCACTGACTGGCAACAGTCGAGTTACGGGTTCGAGCCCTACAAGGGTCCGATGGGATGCGCACTACTGACGATTTCCGGAACAATGAAACGTGCGTACAGTGCTTTTCCGGGCTTGTGATGGCTGTCTGAGTGAGTTTAGCTATAAAGAAGTTCTACCTGTAACATTCAACTCCCCCTACTACTCCTCTCTTAAAAATATTGCTATGCTGCTCAGATCAGACCCTCTCCGAACGTGCGGCAATTAGGGTTCTATACTGGCAAATCCGTTGGTTAATTCGTTGCTATGCAGTTGATTGCCACACGACCTAGTCATGGTTTACGTAGTACGAACTGATTTCTATCAACGAAACGCAATCCTCCTAGCGGGAGCTGGAGTGTAGCCCATTCCAACATTTACTGTTCCTGATATGAAATCCAACGCATCGAGAGGATCAAAACCCATAGCTTCACAACTTACCTAGAGAAAATATTCCTTCAGTTCTTTGGAAACGCTGCGAAGATGCTACTCTCTGATTATGTCGCCATACATGCTGGCTGGTTTGTTAACGCCCTAGGGTTAAATCTGCATCCAAGTGGTCCTCCACAACACATCGCTTGACGTATTTCGATAGATAGTTAAATCGAGTCCAGATTTCAGTAAGGTGATCATAACTGGTACGAATTTTTGTAATTGCCCTTCAAACCCGTAGTTATCGGATTTAGTCTTTATTGCGACTTAGGTTAGCACTGGGACTTTGACCTATTTGCTTGGTCTGGTGAAGCTTGTATCCAGGTGGAATTGTGGTCAAGCTAATAGTCTCCACTGACCCTTGCCCACCATGATCTTTATCGGTTCGGCTAACTAGCCCACTTTCTGAGAGAGTACCGGGAGTCACAGTTGCGCTGTGCTCAACAGCCATCGAAAAATTCGTGTGATATCGGGGTGCGTTCTGCAGAAATAAAGGCTCCGTGAACTACAACGCAGCAGTGACTGTGCTTCCAAACTACAGAACTTATCCGTCGGCTTTTAGATCTGGTTAGGGAGCATTAGAGGCCGGATAGCGCTATGCTGCTTTCTGTTGCTGGTCACCACAATACCAGGATGTACTCATGCAGAACTGCACATTAATTTATGCCAGTGACCCGCTCGATGAAACGTTGTGAATATACCTGGTCTTGCTAGTACCGTTTTGTTCACGGCGTCCCTCAGTCCCATGAGCATGATAACTGTGAATCAGAGGCTGACGGTCAGGTACAGTGTCATTATATGCATGACACCCTGCTGTAGAACGATGTTGTAGCTGCTTCCCTCTCAAGACTGCCAAGATTAGCAAGCTACAGAGAGTGTGATCCAAGGATAATAAACGTAATGCTTCAAACTAGGCAGATGGCTTTCCAGCTGGTAAACAGTGACAGTCACTTCGGAACAGATTGCCAACCAGGATCGGGTACAAAGCGACGAGCGATACTGCCGCCCGATTTAAAGCAGCATCTTTGTAGGCATATGAAATGAAGAACCTGTTTGAACCGTCCAGTGATAGCCTCATCTCACGCGCTAAGCAAAATGTGTCGCTAGAGGGGAGAACTAAGATTCCGCCGCAAACAACTGAGCCAATCACCCATTTTACTACAGAAAACAGCAAGCTGCCAATCATAAAACCGTTGGCACAGTTTCCTATCCGAATCACATGCCTTTCGATTCACTCCCGAGAACCTAAAAAGGTCCTTTATGTACATCGATGCCAATTACCTTCTCAGTAAGCATATATGGCTTTGGCTGCTTCAAGCAAAAAACTCTTGTGATCTCATTTCTATAACCGAGATTTGTTTGTGCTCAGAGGTTACGGATGTCTAGATAACGAATCGGGGAATATCACTACCAAAACGACCATGTCCGGGTAGGTGGCATAATGCGCTGCATTATTGCAACGACATACAATGCGTGTTGGCAGACGATCCGGAAACTCAGGTCGCCGAGTCTCTGTGGTGTCATTTACATCAAAATCAATAACAATTGCTTCGTGGAAGTTATTTATAGCCCCTTTTTCCCATTTCAGGAATAGATACTCGCTGGTCATTTGCATAGATAAAATGTTTGTTTCCATCTCCTCATCTCAGATAATTAAAAGGCACACGACGCGGCCTACACCAGCGTAACATTCGAGGTCGGATAGAAAAAAGTTATCGAAGGTATTGCATTGCACAATCACATCACCTCACCCACTGGGTACAGAGATGATAGCAATTCATAGGCACCAGACTTTCTACTTCCAAATTCGGAACTCATGATTTACAAGTCATTGTTAAACATCACACTGGAAAAAAAGGACCAGTTATTCACAGTTTACTGCCATGGGTATTGCGCTGAATACGCGAACACACTGAATCAACGCGCACCATCATGCGCTGCAACACCTTGACAGAGCCGGTTGCGATTACTGATTAAAACTATTTGTAAAGCAGAGCTCCGGACATTGTCTGGATGAGGTTTGTTGGAATTGTCACAAATCTGGTCGTTACTGCTATGGAAAGCATGCTGATTGGTGCCATCAAACCATCGTTGTTCATCAGAAGTGCAACTCCCAAACTGGTGTCAGTGCTTACATAGCGCCTTCTGGTCCTTGGACCTGGAGTGACTAGGTGGTTGAGCGCAACCTCTGTGATGCGATCGTACATGAGGACAAATTGACTCGTAAAGTTCCAAGAAAGCTGCGCACAACCATTTAATGCGTATTTTTCGAGGTAAGTACCTTAGTACCCTACTTACCGCAACATTTGGAATCGCAAAGTGGGCTGAGGAAACGGCCATCATTATATTATTATACACGTTAGCTAGAGTTAAAAAACACCTCAGCGATTGTGCCGCAATACAAATGGGTATTCGAATATCTATCGATGCAGCATCCACTGTTCTTCCATGAAGATTTTTACCAGTGTTACTTATCAACGTCCATCGCCCCAATTTTAGGGCGTACTCACATTACGTTTACCACCACAAATGTGTTGCGGAAACTGATCTCACTGCGTACCTACAGTTTTTCCGGAACAGATTATATTCATCCGATAGCACCTAACCTCACAATAACAACGCTGGCTGAGCCATTAGCGGATTTCTTGCATTCGCGTTTGAATGAACAACTGGTGCTTGCCAAGTGGCAACATGGACTAAACACGCCGCCTTTTAAACATATCGGCGCTCAGAATCCGTAATTATTGCACAATGGTTCTCTTCGATGTGCTCTTGCAGCTGGTTGGGGCACCCATTTCTGAGGCTTTAGTCAACAATCTAGTGTCATGCAACACAGTAGCACCTGGCCAGTACGAATTTGTCAGCACCGGTCATGCATAACCCACGCCGTAGCTAGACGGATGCACCTATCAAAGGCACAGGGCTCGTTGTCATTTATATCGACTTCTCTAAAGCTTTTGACCGCCTGTATCACCGCAATCTGTTTCACAAGCTAGAAAGCTACGGAATCTAGGATCCTGTCCTTCGGTGGATCGGGAAAGTTCCTGCAGCATCGGCGGCTGAAAGTTCAAACTGCGCTATCCGATCCGAGTAATCGCTAATGTAGATTTCTAAAAGGAACGTTTCTGGAGCCGCGCCTACTTTTTGTGTTCATTAATGAGCTTACGCATCTGATGGTCTCGGATATTTTGTTTTCGCTGATGAGGGTAAGATGTGGAGCGCGATCGCCTACAGTGCACTTCACTGAGATCTAGCCAATGCGTATGAATGGCCACTGTACAACCTGATTCAGTCTTTTTCGTCCAAATGCAAGTAGGTCCACATTCGTCATCTGCCGAAAATCATATACAAGATTAGTGACCAAATCCTTCAAAGAGTCACTCATGAGCGCGACTTGAGCATCAAACCAACGCCTTTGGAGTTGCACAGCTCAATCTGAAGAAGCGTCAAAGAGTGGGATCCAGGAAATTGGTGTTCTGCGGAGGGCATTCGGGCGGATTAATCTATCTGCCTGCCAGCAGGTGATTAACACACATGTACGGCCTCCTGGGGAATACGCAATCCATGCATAAAAGCCCTGGCACAATAAATATTTCGTAGCGTTCGGAACTTCATAGCGGAGAGTTACCAAGAACGTTGGAGGGTTGCTCAACCTTTCATATCAACTTCGGCTTTAAACCATATATGAAGCGGGGAATATCGACACTTTTGTAGCAACCTAAGAATGGCGTAGCAGATTCGGAGTAACCCAGCCACGTCTACCGCTACCTACTGCGACTGAACAACAACACGCATTTGGTCATGCAATGCAGCCGGCTAGAGTGTAATCGAAACGTTTATTCCCTTGGTGTATGAGCTTTGGAATGCCCTCCCCTATTGCTTTATTTCCGCCCCTCCACCTTCTCTGTGTTTAAAATGTGTCTTGACCCTGTCTTAACTAGTCTAGGTCGCGAAACCTAAGCTGTGAACGTCGAGCTACAATAAAACGTGAAAACAGCGTATCAACAAGCATTACCATGCACACTCGAAACGGCACCCTTTACGGATGCCTCAAGTTAAACAACATGACCATCAAAATACGTTTCACTGCACCAGGATGCTTCCTTTTCACTAGTTTATGGTTCATGTTCTATCCATTCCACGGGACTTGGTATGCACTCACTCTTGTACGCGCAGTACACCATTGATCTCTTGTTCCATAAGCGTGGGGCCCTTGAAGTTGGCTTTATCTACTCATCGCCACGTTCTACTCAAATCCTTATAACATCGAAGGCGCATCTGCGCTTAGACTTATTTCAGTATGAATGAAATAAATTACAACATGTACACGCGTTACAAATCGATCACTCTCCCATGGGTTGACCACGACGGATGCTTGTGGGTAGGGTGCCGGAGGAAAGCGATGTTAACGGGGTCGAAACTGCACCAACCTGGTATAGACGATGTGGTAAATTTCTGCGATGTTCGGCTAACCGAGCAGAATTACTGCCACGTTTGACATGCATAACGTAGAATTAAGGGAGCTTCACGCTCAAACTTCCGTGATAGCTCAGAGCAATGTAACAGCTTCATAATATTATCACATACATGATCAAAACGTGTGATCGACACAAAACTTACAATTTCCTTGGGACAGGGCTTTGAACTTGAAACAGCTAATGAACAATTTGTCGATTCAGCCTTAGGTTTGAGAAATAGGTCGAAAATAAATCGTTTTCCGGCCACTGTTTGCTGCTCTATATTGTCCATATATGTGCTCCCGAAGTCAAAGTACATAGAGCGCTCCATGCCAAATGTATCCCGTAGTTTCGGTTGCAAGCTTTGTAGGCACTCCATCAAGTAGCTGCTTTCCCCAGGCTGCATGACTGTGGAGCCGTTTGACAGCGATACATTTTCAACTGGTACTATGACACAATCGTTCACATCGATCGTCTCATGCTCTTTGCTCCATGGTCTCGTCCAGTAGCGTACCTTGCATGCAGCAACATACTGTAGGAATTGCACAGTACATATGAATTTGCATGAGTATCTCAGCACAAATTTTTAGCGGTCATTAAGAACGCTGATTAGTTGATAAACTTCAACTAGGTAACTTGTGCGAAACGGTGGAGAGATCAGTGCCTCACATGAATGTGTGAAGTGGATGTAACCATTAATTACAGAAACAGTCTCATAGATTGTTCTAGTAGTAGCCCTTCCAAGCCATTGTCGACGTAAATCGGGTCTTTAATAATTACAAAAAGTAATAAAACACCAATCCTGAAAGCAGGCTATCATCTATATTATGATGTTGACATATTGTACTGGTTCCGGACTAGAATACAACCATCAGTATCGAAAAATGAGAGACATCCTGCAAAAAGGAGGACTTCGATACCCTGAGTAGATAGTAATGATGAAGGCACTTGCACCGTACCAACGTTACAGGAATACAGCACTGATCACCATGAGAAGTTAAAGCAACATCGATGAGATTACTATGTCTTCTAATACTGAATCTTTCCTCAAAGATAGCTCAGGCTTATGCATTATTTAAAGCGGTCATTTGGCTAGTTGATAATAACAATTACGACATCGGGCACTGTTGCTAGTCTCGTCCTGTATGCTCTGAGACAAAGCGCAGCTAGTTTTTGGCGCACTCCAGCCTTGAAGATGAGACCGACCAGTAGCCTTCACCTTTGCGGCCATGAACTTCAATTCGCTGTGCCACGTGGACGATAAGCCCCATGTAAATCTACATCGGCTGATATTGAGCAAACAAATCAGCGCCTTGAGTGGTGGGTATGCACAGGACTACTGGAAACAAGGTGGTTTATTCAGACTAATTATTTGTCAAAAAAGTTAATGTGACCATATATGCCTAGTACGTATCTGCCCACCTCATCGCTGCGGACACGATGTCAGCAACGGAATGTTCTGTTGCCTTGCAAACAACGATGGTTAAAAGTGGAAACGTTTAAGCTGTCCGCAACAATAGGAAAGGACCGACATCCCTGTTATAAAAGGTTATTGAGGCCAAAGGAAACATCCACCTAGAACAGCGATGTTGTAGATTTACCAAAACATTTCCAGACCCGGTAGTGCATGAGATATCTTCAGCAACCACTTACCGCTTACTGGTAATGCGACCGCAAGGATAAGTAAATTAATAAGCTATCTGTCATCTCTCGTCACCAAGGTTCAAAGGAAAACGAGCCACAATAGAACACGCAACACCACTTGTGCTCTCAAGATTCAAAGAGCATGCGAAAGGATGGATCTAGGCTAGATACTTAGCCGATGACCGGGTGCTCTGTCTGGATGCAGCCTAGCCGCAAGGTAGCAGCATCTACATTGTTCGCATTAACCAGTTTTCCACCAAGGCAGGACCTCGAAAACTATATCGTGTAACACCGCTTTTGAAGACAGCAAGATAAAGCCCACCAAAGAATTAATTCGAAATTAGGGAACGAAATAACATTGCTTGGCCCAAGTTCATCTTGGAAGACCGCACAACATGCTACTATAGTTTGTGATGCAATGTAAGGTAGTATAAGTGTGGCGTGCGGTTTTTATTTTACGGCGTACATTGCCGCCAAACTATATGGAAAAGAAGCAGATCGACCGATCCCAATGCGCCTATGAAGTGGAGGGACACGGTGGCATGTATGAAGCTGGGCCAGAGCCAATTTCGAAATAGAATTAAGGTTAATACATTATCACTCTCGGAATAGGCTTGGAACCAACCGACTAGAGTGAAGGAGTGCTTGCAACAAGAGAGCAATTAGCCAAAGAAATACCTACAAAAACCAACTTGTATTCAGTACATTTTGAAATCAAGAGTATCTCCTTATTTTAAACCCATTTTCGCGTTACTGTTCAGTACTAAAACCATGGATAAGAGCGGAGACTTATTAACCACGTCACTACCTTCATCCACTCGGTACCACGGTAGATAGCACAAGTGACTCTGCTGCGCCTCTCGGGTCTAGTCACCATGAGTGGTTCGCCCTGGATGCTTTTCTACTGAACCAGTTAAAGCAGGGGCGTCAGTTATTTGCAAATGGCGCAAAAACCAACATCCTCGGGTATCGACAGCGGGATAGGATCCGGATCGACGAGGTGTTTTAAGCCCTTGCTTCAATTGGAACCTATAAAATAACAGACCATGTATCAAGCTACGTAACCGGATCACAACGCGGTCCAAAAGCAGGGTCTTAACTAGGATGCCTCCAAAAGTGCCCGATCAGCGAGTCAGATGGCATTCCTTATTGTAAACAAGAATCTAGCCTTGGTCACCTCGTTGACGGATACTTTTCGGGGAACATTACTGCTAATTTACTGGAAGCGTCAGCAGAAGCTACCCACCGTTCCAACACCACAATTGAGTGGACTCTCTGTTTCCGCTTGGCCTCCTCATCAAATTACGTAATCCATCCTAGCCACCAACTGATAGCTCGTCAGTTTGTCTTGCGCAGCATAAAAGCAAGAGGTTCTTAAGTAAACTTCGCTAGGTAAACGTACTATATGATCTTCAATATAAATAACCTGATAACTGATAGTAGACGTGCAAAAGCATTAGTACAGTGTGTCGCATTTTTGTGCAATTCTACTAGAGTTCAGTTCTACTACAGCCATGGGATGGAGGAGCGTAAGCTAGATGTTTTGATGGCCTCAACCGTGGATCGAAGCGGAAAGTTGTTGTAACGCTGCCCTGCCTCCGCTCTGCTTAGGGCATCGCCAACAGAAGACGAGACTTGCTAGACCGGTGTGTATTAGGGTCAGAACATGGTCAACTTTATACGTCACACATGCTCACCTCCGACTGTGCGTTACAGAGCCGATTGACTTTATCTCTCTAGACATGTCCAAACGAGCTCGCAATCTCCACTGTTTGGCTGTAACCACTTTCACGCCTGCGTCGAAGCAACCCGTGTCACGATGATAAACAGGCTCCGACAACTGTCCCAAATGGCGTGGTAACCTGTGTAGTGGATGGCGCACTAAGTCAGTCAGTTTTCGGCGCGGCCAACTGCATGCCCAGTTCATGTCTCAAACCCTGTCGAGCCGTTCATCCGTTGTGACCACCTAATGCCATTCGATTGCCAACGGAAAGCTTTTCTCATTATGCCTCCAGGAAAATCGGTGGTGGAACGAGATGCGAGCAGCGTCGATGGTCACTTTGAAATGAGTGACAGTGAATGTTGGAATAACGTCACCCAAATCTCACAGTTATATGGCTCATCTGGATTCGTCCCTTGCACACTACAAAAAAACACCAAGTGACATCTGCGTCTATTATGCCTGTCGCTGTTAAAACCTAGAAACAGTCGTGGTTTGAAGCATACTTGCGTTAAACGATCGTTATTGGCAGTGTGTATTGTTTTCAATTCCATGCACATCACTTACCCAATCATTTAAATCCCTTACTAACAGAAGTCCGACTTGATCAGGAGAGTTAAGCGGCAGCGCTCTAACTTCGTGGTAGCGTACATCTTTGACGGCTTCTTTACTGCAGGCGATGGTGCCACGTTCTACATTCATGAGTAGGCAGCTTCTGTTGATTTACCCATCTATAACCATAGGATGTTATCAGACAAGTTCCGCAAGAAAGGTCAATACCTGGTACCGCCAAGGACTGCGGGCAGGTTTCTAGCGGTTTCCACACAACCACGGCCTGCGCTTAATGCATAAGTACCCCTGGAGGTGTGCATTCAAGTTCAATAGTGTCTGACTGGACGAAAACAGCAGCTATGCAAGATCCGGAGGGTGGAGAATGCAAAAAATTGAAATGTTATAACCTAAAACGTGAACTATCATTATTCTGCCTATTGTATTTTGCCAAACGGTTGTGCAGGATTTATCCTTCAGCTAAAAGTCGTATAGTCTTTCAAAGGTTACCATGTTTGCTGCGTTCATCACAAGTGCTGGTACTACATTCCAATGTGAATAGATTCTACGTGAGTATAAGAACTTTCCACAGTCCGAGCGGGAGTGTCGAGTTTCTAGTTTCAAGTAGTGCCTCGGCATTTTCTGCAAGGGACTATGGTCAACAGTGATTAACATGGATGATCACTTTCTGTTCTTGTATGTGAGAAGTGATCCCCGAGAAGTAATTGGTATTCTGAGGAAACCTAATCAGTTGAACGAAGGCGGAGTTCGTAACTGAGACCAGATAATACCCGTGTTGTTTTAATAGCTCTTCAGTAGGGTTGCGCTATGAGACGAATGTTTCGTTTTCACTATACGCACCGCGATTGAACGGTATAGTCAACGTTAGGACGAATATACGACTTGATCAATAGGGATACTAACCGTTGTTCAAAAGTACCTAGAGCTCTCCACAGAAACCATGAGTTCATATTTATCACTTTTCGTTGTTTCGAACATGGGAGCGAAATTCCTATACTTTCTTGAACAATGACACTTAGGTTCCTCTCAATTGTTACTTGCTGTGGATTGTTAGGCTTCAATTTGTATTCACCAGCAAATTGGTTATGCAACGTTGCTTCAAGGGGATCTGGTCCATTTCTGCCCATTCGTAAATCCGATCCAGTTCGTTTTGAAGATAGTCTCCGTCAGACCTTGAGCGAATAGTTCCCCAGATCTTCGTATCATTTCGCAAATATTCTCATTTGGGACCAAGTATTTGCTGGGAAATAACTAATACGGATTAAAAAGTGTGAGGGACCGACGACAGATTTTTGCGGTACACCCCTGGAGACGCACATGCTGTCTGACTGTGCCGCGGTGGTTCTTACTGTGCTTGTTCTCCCATGTATTTGTTCTTCAAACCTGGTGAGCAAAAGGCCGGTTTTCCTGTAGCCATTGGGCTATTGGCGAATAACTGTCAAATGCCCTAGAAACGATTAAGTAGACCACGTTTAGAGGAACTCGTTCGTCGACCGCTTTGGTCCATGAGTTACAAAAGACCAAAAGCAGATAAAATCGTCTGCGTCTGAAACCATGTCAACGATGAAAAATGATAAATAGAATTTCAGTACTGCGCG